AGTGAAATGACACTGTTGTGCTTCTAGATTTTACGATTAATGTAAAAGCTGATCATAATGGAATTCGTTTACGAGGATTTTATTTAATAGGTAAGTGTAAATAACCAATCAATCAGGCTACACATCAAGCTGTACAAATCCTTTGTCTTGGCCTCGCTTTGTATGATCTTTCCGTACAATGAACGGTCAGCTTATGCTTCAAATGCCCTTAGAGTTCCAGGGCCGCGGTACGGTATACGGTAAATACGCCAAAAATCCTACCTAATGATTTACTATTATTAATGTTTAATTTTCTTTGTTGTTAAATCTAACTTACATTAATTTTGACTCGTCACGCAACACAAAGGGTAGGAATTTTTATCTGTCCTAAGCAAGTGTGAAAGTATGAAGGAAAAGTTTCATGATAGGTTATGTGTACCATTGTGTTTATATTGAAATGTTGTGTAGGTAGCAAGGGCGGGCGGTGATCTTTACAGTGATTACGTCACTCGAGCGCATATGGTATCCATGAATTTACGGACGGTGTCGGACAGAAACTTTTTTAATTTTATAAAAGAAAATAGCGTTTTTTTTAAAAAAAATCGGATAAATATTTTTATATTAAAGCCAACCACCTATGGTTTCAGTGACAACGGTGTTTACACTTACACACTGTAAAAAAAAAAAATATATATATATATATAACAGGACGGTATATATATATATATATATATATATATATATATATATATATATATATATATAGACAGGGACAGGTATAAATATTAGAAAGGGGTGGCAAAAGCCTCTTATATAGTCCCGAGGGTCTTGCAGGATAAATTACACCTTCAAAGTTCTCAGCAGAAAAAACGGGCAGGCACGAAACGTTTTATAAAAATATTAAGATATTCATTAATTATATTCTGTCAATTTTTTAAGTTTTCTGAAATAACTTTCTTGTTGACTTAAATGACATCGAAAGTCATAAAAAATCACTCCAAGAAAATTTTCTCGCGTTAAATTCATGTTGAAGTGACACAGACTATTTTAAATTTGCCGCCAAATCGTAAACAAATGACAAAATATTGCAATACATACACAATAATATTGGCAGAGTCGAATTTAAAAAAATTTGAACTAATTTTTTTATAACATCGTCTACAAGTGGCCAGTTCTAAAACCTTTCTGTATTCAGTTTCAGTTTCAGTATTGATGGAAATTGTATTATGAAATCTGTATTTAGTGTTTTAGGATGTAATAAAAGTTGTATTTGAGTTTTAAGGTCTGTGACCATACGTAATCGTTTTTATAAAGTGATATTATGTCTTGTATTTTATTAATGTCTTCATCATCATCATCATTACAGCCCTTCACAACTCCACTGCAAAACATAGGCCTCACCCAAGGAATGCCACAAAGCACGGCACTGCATCTATCGACTTCCTGCATGTTTTACCAGGTCGCTACTCCAAAGGTCGCCCTGCACTTTACCTACCGGTACGAGGCTGCCACTCGAGAACCTTCTTTCCCCATCGGTTGTCGGTTCTTCGAGCTATATGGCCACTCTGGTCATATATGTTTGATATCCTCATTTCTAAGTTAACGGCCTGTCCACAGCTCGCTGAGCGACCTCGTTATGGCCAGCATTGAAGGACCATGTCTCAGTTCCATAAATCATCACTGACAACACGCCCTGGTTCTACAGTCTCGTTTTCAGGTTTTTAGGTATAGCGGTATTGATGTCTTATATAATTTTGTTCTTAAATGTTTGTGTTAAACGTCTTATTAGCGGTCACGCCATTTTTTTCATCCAATTTTTCATTCACCCCCCACCCCCCTCTTAATAAAATCACTTACCTCTGCCTAAGCAACTGTAAAACCGTCATGATCAGGGTGATCCATCTTTGTATGAAATTTGAGATATTTGCACATGAGCATAATTTTGTCTGTGTGTGAGTTAAACAACCAAAAATAAAACGAGAAAAAAATATCGCTGTTTCTTTCTTTCACGTTGCTTTATATTGCTATTTTAAAAATTATATCGGAAGAAACTGAATCTTATATTCATTTATAAATTTAAATTTTTTTTCAGTTCGGAGATGTAGTTTTTCTTTCAGTAGAAAATGATTGTGTTGTCTGTGGTCACGGATAGATGGCATCACAATGTTCTCTTGGATGGAGATTTTCGGTTAAGCACATATCATGCCCTTAAGCAAAATAAAATTAAAATCAACAGATATACCAACAAATGCGCTTTATTTAACTTTAATAACAATATTAAATAATTAAATAATTTGATTAAAACATTCGAATGTACCATTCGAAATGTACAACGTTGTAATAAGATTTTTTTTGATTACAGAATTTAATGTGCATAAATAGGAAATACTGATAAGATAAGCATTTAATTAAGTCACTTTATGAAAATAAGTAATAAAAATGCAATTTAAGATATGTAAAAAGATATAAAAATGAAAAATCATAATTAACGAAACATACATTATTTGGATTAGAAAAAAGACTTGGACAAAAATGCAATAATTGTAAATACAATAGGAATGAATAATTTTTTTTTAATATAAAACATCAAGTTAGTATAAACAGCTTCCCTCTGACAAGATTATCCGGTTTTTTTTTAATTTTTAATATATATTAATATTATTCATTCCATTATTTTAAAAATTCTTCTACTTATATTAAATCAAATAAATTTGTCATTATCACACATACCTTTTTTGTCTTTTACTATAAAGGTTTTTTAAACCAAATAAAAAAATTATGCTTAAAATTAATATTTGGAAATATCAAATTGCGATTGTGTGGCCACAGTACATACTGAGAACTTTATTACTCGTAGTTCGTGGCCATCTTGTTTTATTTACTTACAACATACACAAAGTATATCATTTAACTAAAATATATACATAGACAAATTAGAAACTAATTTATTCACACCCATTTATCTAAACAATATTTGGTTGTTTTTAATGAGACCTAGGCTTACCAACGTTGAAATGTCCCCTATCAGATTAAATATTGATAACAATTTAATTTTCACGTACCATAGTATTTACAGTGTAGTGGCGGTGTAAGAATATTCTATTATATTAATTAATATAATATGAATTAACGTAATATGAATATCCAATTATATAATATTAACGTGGTAGTCACGCTGCAGCTGAATTTTGGTTGTAGGACGAATGAATCGGCTCGACCGGTGTAAAGACCACCACACTCATTCAGAATACCAGCGGTAAAATAGCAACTAGATGCTGCTGTGTTTTGTATGGTGAGTGGGAACCGGGGACCCTTTTTACTGGAAACGAGGCACTCCATTGTAGTCCACAGAGGCGACAACGCATCCGCATACTGAATCTTAATAAGAGGAAAAATGTAGACGTCTATGGGCCACAGCATCCACCTACCATCTCATGCTCGTTTGTCACCCTTATTCTATAAACGAAAAATCCACTACCCTATGTCATCCCGTGGGTGGCAACTATGACAAATATCCCGCCCTATGAGGCAATATATGGGGGAGGCCTGTGTTCAGCTTTGGACTTTAATAGGCTGTAACTATAACAGTACCATAGTATAACTCGCGGCAAGTAACTCTAGCGCTGAACGAAACGTGGAGGGGATAGCTACAAATGACGTATCAGTACGTAGGACGGAATGCGACCAGAGAAGCCAATTAGCGCGTGCGAACGATACGCACACCAAATCATACTCAATAATGCGCAATGCGGCCAATTATGCGCGCAATAACGATCACCGTTAGACTTTCGTGCCGCGAGTTGTATACAGCTAAAAATTAAGATAAATATGTTGGTAAACCGAAAAAGGTGTCGAAACATCCAACTCACTTTAGGAGGTCGTCCATAAAACAAGTAAAGGTTTAGGAGATCAAGTTAAATATAGTGTACAAAATACGAAAAGAACCCATCACTTGGTTTAAGGATAACCCCTTAACATCTCACTTCAAATAAATCTTTCGCATCATTCTTTTGTGATTTATTTTACATTTTTTCTAAATTTCTGTCATGTTTTTTTTTTGCATTAATATAAACTATTAAATTATTCAACTTTTTTTAAATAAGATTGATATATATTTTTGGTTGTTTTTTTTAAATAAAAAAATAGTTTACATACTTGACAAACAATAATATTTATAAGTTACTCAGATTTCACTCGGAGAAACATATCCAACGCCTGCATATGTTTCTCAGAGTTAAATTAGTACCAAAGTAGTCCGTAGAAACCTTACGAGATAATTTGTTAGGCTGTCGGTCTACGAAATTATTAAATCAGTATGCAGCGTGAATGCCGAAGGGTACTAGGATGTATACTATAAAAAACATATAATATGATAAATCAAACATTGTTATACATAAAAAACGAAAGTAAATTTAAATTTATAATTAAAATACTGTCAAGCTTTAATGACTACTTAATGACCAGACTAAGCATGTAAAATACTAAGTAAATATGCCCTTGTCTTAAAATCCTACATTGTTTCTTTTTCCCATTAAGGAAGAATTAGAACAATCTGTGCTATCAGTACTCATTTCATTGGGTTACTAAATTCATATAACTGATGGGTGACATCCACATTGAAAAATGTAACAAAGAATTTGTCTAGTACACATTAAAATAAGTTTGTGCATTTGCAATATTACATTTATCAATTATAGGCAAGAATTCTTTAATTAAAATGATTACAGCAGCACCAAGTAGAAGATAAAACAAAAAGCGAGAGCAAGACAGATATAATTCAGACTTTTATTAGTAGACAGTCTGCCGATAAGATAAGACCCAACACTGCTATGTTCCTATAATATTCCGTCCCACTCTTGCTTTTTCAATATCATATTGATTGCCAGAGATTGTGTAGTATTATTAAATTCAGATAAATTAAATATTTTATGTCAAAACACAGTTCCAATACTCTATTCTCGATTAAATATATTTGAGAAATTGACACTAATAGCTTAAGCGATAAATATCATTTTAGCTTATCAACTATTTTTGAGCATTTTTGAAACGACTAGCATTGTGAAACTACCAATTATGTATAATGTAGCTGGAATCGATGCCAGAAGTTTATATCTTTCCTCTGCAAAAAAAAAGAAAATTATCACAGTATTTTGAAAATGAATGATTTATTATCTTTCTGATTTCGGTATTGCCAAGCACATACAATCATATACATACACAATATAGCAACACACACATTACACACAATACACCCATATAAAAAACGTTCTCGTGTTGCATGCACCTTATGTAATTACTACCTACGAACTTTTCTACTAAATCAAATTTTCCACCACTTCATCATACGACCTTTCTTAGTGCAAGAAGTATATTTTAACCAATGAAAATCAATTTTATACTTATTTTCGATGAATAACAACGGCCTCAAAGAAAGAAAATTCATTCGATCATTTGTTTTGTTTATTATGTTACTAATTTCATTAAAGGCCACTTTCAAACATAAAGAAATGTGTCAAAAACGTTTTAAACGAGTAACAAAACTAAAATCTAAAATCAATCCCAATAATGTGCAAGGTGTGATAAAATTGTGAATAAAAGGACAAAAGGAACAAACCTATTAACAAACAAATTACAACGGTCTGCATTAAACAGTAGTTTATTACCTAGGTTAATTTTTTTATCGGTTAAAGTGACCGCGTAGATAATTGTTATTTAATCTAATTTTTATTAAATGATAAGCGTTTTACTTTTAAATGTATTATCATCTTCTTTTTTCATAAATCTATTCTATTCAAAATTTATAACGATATTTTTTATTCAGATAAAAATTATAATAAAAAAAATTGCGAAAGCTTTTTAAAATTTCTTATTAAAATTGCTGTTAAAACAAAGGCATGAAATGCTATAATATTTGAATTAAAACAAATTAAAGACTTATCTTTCGGAAAATAATATTTTTATTGACAGGCTAGATTATAACAGTCTTAACATAATGCTAATTAAAATAATTACAAAAAAATTTACAATTAATGAGACCTAATCTAATCGAATGTGCAATATATAAAAAAAAACCAGTGTAAGTACTTCATTTACATTGCTAGCAAAATAATCTCATTTCAAGATCTTTTATTTATTTATAAACCTTTTTTAAATTAGAAATTAATAATTCGAAATTTAAACATTGACATTTTAAACACAATATAATTAATTGGACAAATCTAAATGTAACATTCGATTAATGATACAAATTATAAATTATAAAAACAGGATGTTAATTAAGGGGTGTACGTGATAATTTACTGCAAATATGTTTGAAGATTTCGGGGACACTATCTAACTGCATTCTCTTACGTAAACTAATCCCTTTACCGAGAATTGTTGGGGATACTAACAAGTCATTTTTCAATAAATCACTTTTCGGTTCAATAACAATCGGATTGTCATCGCTATCGAAAATAATCTCCGGGTCGTTCTCTATGATCTCCTCTATTGTCTCCCAGTCGGTTTGCAATCTTTTCTTGGTAGGGCAACACTGACACATGCCGTAATCGCATTCTTTCTTACTCATAAAATAGTCCGCATCATCTAGAATTGTGGCTTCGTCTATCCCGGTTTTCATCGGTACGAAAATAGAAAATTTCCGGGCTGAATACTTTATTAACTCCTCAACGTAATCATTTACGCCGTCATCTGTGACAGGGCTGCCGAATTTGTTCGTATAGTCTATGATCGGGCCATCAACAAGAGAACCTTTTCTACTTCGCGGTGGTGATAAAGAAACATCAAAGCTTTGATTCGGGAGTGTTACCATACTAGATTTTCTTTTTGTCTGACCTGTCATTGCGATGGATTTTTTAGTTGTCGCCCAGCCGAGTGAACGTTGCACCGCCATCTTCCATTTCGTGTACCTCACGTTGCGATCTAAAACAAAATCAATTATTACTTTTCAATCGCAGTGGTGACATAAAATAATTTGCAGGGTGATAGGCAGGTAACAGCTCAAAATAATAAATACTTTGATTGCCAACGCGTAAATTAGTACTTTGGGTATTTGTTCGTTTGGAAGAATGAATTTGTGTGTGATACACATGTGGCAAAAAAGTTTTTTTTTAAAGAATATTAACAAAGCATTACCAATATTCCCCTTAACCACTCGCGTTAAGCTTAAATTGCTTGTGTTGTGGCATATCATCTATTCACGACTTTTTTGAGTTCGCGGTCCGCGTCCCGCCATTAGGCTACTGTCGCTTCTAATAGCCAAAAGTAATTAGCAAAGACAGCCTATCAAATCCATATCCAAAGCTGCACATAATCCTCGCCGATAGATTGCCTAGTTGGGGAGATATTTGCAGTGGCTGCCACACTTCACGTGTTGACAGCCGCAGTTTTTTTTTAAATATTTTTAAGGTTATATATCTATTCATTACAATTAATGTATTATCATTCTTAATTAACCTCTTAATCCCCTAGCGGGCTCATGAGCCCGCGGCCATATTCCGTCAAATCCCTAGCGGTCTCATGAGACCGCACCCACCCACAGCACTTTAACCTATAAAAACTTATATTTAGAGACTACTTTTCTAGAAAGAAGTTTGGCATTTTAGGCTCAATGTGGAATTTCCTATCCTCTAATGCAATAAAAAGTAGTTAGTCTACGGTTTTTTATTTAGAATCTACGTTCATTTCGTACGCCTTTTTCGTGTGGCGTGTTATTGTGTTGATTTTTGGATTTTTCTAATGTTTTATTAGTGTTTAGTATAGTGTTTTATTATAAAATTGTTATAAAAGTTTTTGTGTGAATATAATTTATCTTTTTAAGTCAATAATTTCGAGTAGTATATAGAAATAATTGTGATATTCAAGCTCCTGTACTGCGCTGGGTATGTACATTTTTAACTTTGAAAATACAATTAAAATCTACTTGTAATGAAGTATAAGCACTAAAACAAGTAATATAACATAATAAATAAACATAAACAAGTATTATATTGAAATTTATAATGAATATTATTCAAAATAAATGTACGACAAATTCAAGGTTAGGTTATTTTAGCAAGCGTGTCAATCATTTTAGCTGGCGACTGAGGAGTTTAGCAATATAACTCTTCCAAATTTGAAACAATATTTTCACAATTATTTCTTCTGCGGAAACAACGCGCCAAGCACTAGTCTATATATAAAAATCAATTACTGTCCGTAAGTGTCGCTAAAACTCAAAAACGGCTGAACGGGTTTTGATGAAAATGTTTGTACATGTTTGTATGGGTCCTAATATGGTTTAGATTCACATTTAGATCCGATATACGCGCCGTTGTCCAGAAATCACTCGTGCGAAGCCGGGGCGCATCGCTAGTATTGTATAAAGAGACTGACCGTCATCGTTGGTGGTGGGTAGGAATGTGTCTGAGAGCGTGGCGTGGTGGCGCCAGCGCTCGATGCCCCACGCGCCGGCGCAGTGCCCCGCCACCACGTGTAGCAACTAGTGTTATATAGACTGACCGTCATCGGTGGTGGTGGGCAGGAAGGTGTCTGCGAGCGTGGCGTGGTGGCGCCAGCGCTCGATGCCCCACACGCCGGCGCAGTGCCCCGCCACCACGTGTAGCAACTAGTGTTATATAGACTGGCCGTCATCGGTGGTAGTGGGCAGGAAGGTGTCTGCGAGCATGGCGTGGTGGCGCCAGTGCTCGATGCCCCACACGCCGGCGCAGTGTCCCGCCACCACGTGTAGCAACTAGTGTTATATAGACTGACCGTCATCGGTGGTGATGGGCAGGAAGGTGTCTGCGAGAATGGCGTAGTGGCGCCAGCGCTCGATGCCCCACACGCTGGCGCAGTGCCCCCCTACCACATGTAGCAAGTAGTGTTATATAGACTGACCGTCATCGGTGGTGGTGGGCAGGAAGGTGTCTGCGAGCGTGGCGTGGTGGCGCCAGCGCTCGATGCCCCACACGCCAGCGCAGTGCCCCGCAACCACGGCCGCGCCCAGCGCACCCATGTCCCAAGAATGCGCGCGCACTGCAACAACAACAACAATTCATTTATTCAAGTAACTATACTAATGTTAAAAACTCGCTGCCCGCGGTGCAATAAAATTGACAAACAGGACGCGGCCTGTTACGCATTGCGCTCTCTGTCGCACTTATTGGCCTTACGGTAAGCAGGCGTAAGTATGACAGAGTGCGCAAAGCGCAGCAGGCGGCATCCTATTTCACCATTTTATTGCACCGCGGTTAGCGAATCTTTAACATTAGTATAACACTCATTATTATATTTATTTAAAAACTTTATTTTGTTAACCATAAAGGTTACAAAGGGCGGACTTAATGCCAGTTAGCATTCTTTGCCTGTCAACCCATTGCGTAGTGAAAAATTAGTGGCAAGTGACTAAAATAACTAAACATAAAAGTTGATATAACACATATGGCTTGTAAAAATACAAGCAAATACGTAATAATCCATATATAACAATTACCCTTAATACAGTACATACAGGGTGTGGCGTCAATAGTGGTCCACCGTTAAGGATTCGTTACAACAGATAATTTACTATAACATGTTCAGCTCTGAACATTGAAACGCAGCGACACTGTGACCGCATTACCAAAAATCACGTACACCAATAGTTTGCTGAATAATCTCATAAATGACGCAAGTAGTAACTTAAATGCATACATATAAATTGTAATGATTGGCCAATACAAGCCTTTTTTAACGCTGGACGACGACTTCGTTATTACCGCCGACACTCCTGGTAAGACTGTCTATCTTACTGCAGCCAGACACCTTTAGCCGTCAGAACCTCTGATCACCCTTGTGAGCCTGCTTGGCTGGCAGTGAGAGAACCCCATCACCTAACACTGACATCCTGTCTCTGTCCGTCTGTTATATATATATATTTATATGGTAGGGCTAGGTTATTAGGGACTGCTAGAGACTGCTAGGTATAGTTAGAGTCTATAGAGTTCAATACTCCTTCCTACCATATTCATGTGCAGCCAGGTAGTTGAGCTATTGAATGATAACTAAGTTAATACTTAAACATAAAGCTACCTAAATGGACAACATATTATAATTTTAACCATTTTTTTATGTAAGGGTTCCCGATCTTTTTTGTATTTTTTTAAGAAGTTGCTAAATTTTGTTATCATTTTGCTGTACTTTCATCAAAAAACATAATTTTTTTTTCAATTTTGATTTCTGTTGATTACTTCGGGATACTAGAGCAATGGTAAGAATGTATTACTTTTTATGTATGTATATTAGGAGCTTTTGAATAAAAAAATAAGTTCTTCTCTATTGTAACCCTAACATTTTTCAGGTTGGAAATCGTTTGGCAAGGAAAGGGGGGGGAGTAAGGTGTTTCATTTGGTAGAGGTTTGGTCCCCGATTATAATTCCACTCGCATTAAAACGTAATGCACCGTTCTCGAGAAACAAAAAAAAACTATTATAACCTTAAATGTGTACAACATGGGAAAACTAAGCATTTGCGTTTTCAGGTTTTTCCTGCAACGGTTACATATCCGATATTGACTTTTCATATCGTTATTGAAAACCATTTTCAGATATCGATATATAAGTGGTTAATGGCTTGCTACTGAATGCGCAAACGACAACCGAAACATAACCTCAAACTGTAAAACCAGTTCAAAATATTTATTTTACGAATTACTTAAGAGTTAGACAATTAATGGTAGTTTATTAATTATTGATTATTTAAGTTGGTGATTATTCTTCATGCTTAACTAGGCTTAGGAGTAGCAGAAAACTTTCTGAAGTTAGAACTTAAGTTCCCAGTAGTACATTTCATATAGGATTTGTAACGGGACACAGTATACTTTTTGTAGCCCTATTTCATCAAATAGTAGAATCCCGTAACAGCCTATTAAGTCTACTGCTGAACATAGGCCTCCCCATAGATTACCTCATAAGGGGAATATTCGCCATAGTTGCCAGGCTTAGCAAGCGGGTTGGCAACCGCAGTTTTTTTAGATTTATAGGACAACGTTTCTTGATAATATTTACAAACAGCAAGATACACGAAATTGACTTTTTTATCAAAGTGAGACCATATTTCACTAACCTTACGCGACATTTTGAAAGTTTTTTTACAAAAATAATTTAGAGAGTCTAAATCAACTTAAACTACACTACTTATACTGTCTTATTTGTCGTTGTACACATAAATGTTTGAATTAAAATTAACGTACAAAATGTACAAAAATATTGCAAATAAATATGCACGAACGCAACGTCAAAAATTAATAATTTTATAGATAATATCAAAGAGAACGACACGCGCCACCATGGTCAATTACGTGATTGTTGCGTTTTGAAACAAAAATCGAGACTTTCCATCCAAAACATAAACAAAATATAATATGGTCATACAAATCCTAAGACTGTGTCTAATGAACTAAAATAAAATTAAAATTTTATAAGTCTCACAACTACACAAACTTAAAATTTAGGCAATTTTAACCATTTAAAATTCGACCTTATTGCTTTAGCTATATATTATATTTCGCGATGTGCACCGTTGTGTGATAACTACCAAAACATCGCAACGATATACATATTCGCTTCATCTCTTTCTATACTTTATACTATCGTTGCAAGAACGAAAAGCGACGAATATTAACAAAGGACATCAGTATGTGGTCGGCCGTTTTCCGTTTTGCGAGATCGTTCCACAGCTTGCGTTATGCGTTTCGATTTCGATTTCGTACGTTAGTTAGGTAGCTAGTTTTGGTTGGATATGTAATAACGGTTGTGTACTTTGGTTTATCGATATAATATGGTATTTTGGTAACATAACATTATTAGTAATGTTTTGATATATCGGTCTCATGCCTAGGAAAAACGTATGCATTATTACTGTGAAAACTAGATAGCATACAGAATGTTGTGTAAGTGCGACAAGGGCGTAAGACCTTATCAAAGACTAGTATCACATTATTTTACTTCTATGATATTTTTATTTTTCTGTGGTCTATACTCTGTCAAGTGTCAAATCGCATGACGTACTAATTTTTATGCATTCCGCCGTTGGTTGCTCTTCTTACGTAAATGTCTGCTCTCCAGTATATTAATGTAGCTTTTATCGTGCTAAACTTGAACACCCAGAAATACTTTCAGATGTAATAGGTTAGAAGGTTGTGGCGGGAGCTACGCTGTGCTTCGCTCCCTTCGTGGTTATTTTTTTTACCACCTAGAAATACTTGAACACTCCGATATCCTTACACTTGTGGTCAGAGACAACCTCACTTCCCCCCCCTCTTCTCTCTCAAGCCGGAGACGATAATGTTGTCAGTGTACCAGTGTGTATGTCACCAGTTTGATGTTAGTTATATGGGATATTTTTCGTTTTACTCAAAAACGGTGTATTACCTTTTGATGGAAGTTGGTTAAGATTGACATCTCGAAATTATTAAGTACGATCTCGTAATTCGTGCGTCTCCCTTGCGGAACCGTTCGGTAAAAATGGTTAAAACTATAACATGTTATAGTAAATTATCCGTTTTATCGAATACTTAACGGTGGACCACTATTTACGCCAACATCCTGTATATACATACATATCTGGATAATGGTAGCAGTACCAATTGACGTTATACAGACGAGATTATTTTGTTAGCATCACCCAAAAACTAGGTTATCATCATCATTACAGCGAAGGTTTATTCCACTGCTGAACACAGGTCTCCACCAAAGAATGCCACAGAGCACGGTCCTGAGCCACCTGCATCCATCGTCTTCCTGCATGTCTTACCAGGTCATCACTGCCTCTGGTCGCCCTACACTCCGCCTACCGGTAAGTGGCTGCCACTCGAGAAACTTTTTTCCCCATCGGTTGGTGGTTCTTCGAGCTATATGGTCGGCCAATTGCCACTTAAGCTTAATTATGTGTTGGGCTATGTCAGTAACTCTGGTTCTATTGTGGTCATTGAGGATAGTGCTTAAGGTTCTACAGCGATTCTGCCATAAGGAGGATATCGTCGGTAAATCGAAGTTAAGTTATGTACTCGCCATTGACATTAATAAAATATCCTTTCCAGTCCAGTAGTTTGAAGAGATCTTTCAATGCAGCGGCGAAGAGTTTCGAGATATAACGTTACCCTATCTTACACTTCTCTGCAGTTGAATGGATTTCGTACTCTGGTTCTGTACTCAGATAGCCATCGTAGTCCTACTGTATAAACACTTCAGTACTTCGATATACCGACAGTAACTTGGTACCGCTAAAGGGACTGTAGCACCGTCCAAATTACGACGAAATCAAAGGCTTCCTCATAGTACACATACGTAAGGCTTTTCGGAAACCGGCTAGTTCGGCGGGCTGGAAGTTGTCGAGTCTGCGTGCTAGACGATTTGTAATGACCGAAAACAGCACGTAGACGCGATTCAGAAAGGGAATCGGTCTGTAGACATTCAATAGAGGGTTGTCGTCTTTTTGAAGAAAAACCCAAGACCTTTCTTTGTCTGTTGTCCTCGAATTTTCTGGTGAGACAAAACTATCAATTGACGTGACGTGATGCGAAACGTAAAAAAAAATAACTAGAAACAAAATAAATATCCAAGCAAAATGTTATCAATCATCTAACTAAAACAAAATGAGTCAATTTATTGCAATAATATCGAAGTGCTTCTTGATACTACGAACTACGCTGACCAATTTACAAGACTGTCTTTTGCGATTCGTTGTACTGTCTATTAATAACGCTAAGCAAAATGGTGTTTATTTTTTAATTATGTTTTGACTTTTGGAATATCTTGTATAATATTTTATAGTCAAATGTCGCGTGGCATAGGTGTGACATGTTAAATGTCCATGTCACACCCATGCCGGTAGTTGTTGGGAGCACTAAGCTCGAAGTTGTTGACGAGTACGTTCACCTGGGACAAATAGTCCGACTAGGTAAGTTGAACTTCGACCGAGAGGTCAATGGACGGATTCAACTCGGCTGGGCACCGTTCGGGAAATTACGATCACATCGACACATTTTCTCGTCAGGTATACCTCAAAACCTAAAAACGAGACTGTACAAACAGTGCTTCTTGCGAGTGATGACTTATGGTTCTGAGACGTGGTCCTTCACAGCTGGCCGTATGAGGACGCTCAAGGTAGCTCAGCGAGCTATGGAAAGTGATTAACTTAGAAATAAGGATATCCACAGTAGAACCGGAGTGACCGACATAGCCCAATAGTTAGTTGAAGTCGCAATCGGCCGGCCATATAGCTCGAAGAACCGACAACCGATGGGGAAATGTTTCTGTAGGCCGAACCCCCACTAGATGGAGTGACGACCTGGTAAGACACGCAGGAAGTCGCTAGGTGCAGGTGGCTCAGGACCGTGTTTTGTGGTATTCCTTGGGGGAGACAGAGGCAGGGTTCAGCAGTGGACTTGTAAAGGAAAGTACCGGTTTCCACACGCTTACAGAAGCTCCGCTTCAATTCTATCCTAGCCTGGGAACTTGTCATTTTTAAGGTGCTGGAAAACCATTCTAATCTCGCACAGACTAACGTCCGGAATATCGGATAAGACTTGCTCTTGGATCATTGCTCACACTTGAGAAAATAATAACTGACTGATACTCACACACAGGTATTCCAGTTAGATCTGCTTGAAGCTGCATGAGAAGATCATTTGAAGACATCTTCCCATCCACATGCAACTTCGATAGTGGCATACCGCAGTCTTTGTTCATTGCTTCTAAGATGTCTCTGGAAAAAAAAATTATCCGACGTCAAATAAAAGGGATTATCTATTCGATTTTTACTAATGTACTTAACATCTCTTATCTCTGAGGTTAGTAAGCAGATTTCGTTGATTTTTTTTATCAAAAGGGTATAAAATATGGTCCGGTAAGAATTTCAACCAAATCAGACGATAATTGAAGTCAATTTATATTAAACGAGTCAATCCGTGCTATGCTTGGTTTCTTGATATTATAAACTCATCACTAGCATTTTTTGTACATTTTTCAAATTCTTTGATATGATTGGTAATTAAATATAAGTTAAATGTTACTGATTCGTATATGAAGATATTACAATAGTATATTTTTTATTCCTTTCTCTTTATTATTGGTGAACTTATATAGAATATATAGATGTAGAAATAAGAGAGGGTAGTTTTAAATGTGTAGTTAATTTTAGAAAGTTCATTTTTGATTTAAAAAATCTCCACAATTAAAATGTATTTTAACATGCCTTATCTATTTTTCGCTAGTGTCAAATTTGTAGATATTTTGATTTTAATTTATTAATAAAACTTACGTAAAACAAAGATATCTATTACACTCTAGTCAGATTCTTGAGATTGCGTTAATGAATTTATCTCTACATAGTATAAAACAAAGTCGCTTTCTACCGTCTGTACGATTAGATCTTTTAAACTACGCAACGGATTTTGATGAGGTTTTCATCAATAAACAATGATTCAAGAGGAATGTTTCGCTAGTAGTCAACAAACCGCATCTTGAAACTGACTTCACCCCTCGTCTGTACAAACGCCATATTCTGGCGTCTCAAATAATATGCGCATCTGTCAAACGCCATAAAATGGCGTCGAGTGGTAGCAAACTATTTGTGAAATATATATGATATCTATAACATACATATATATAACATATATATCTGTTATAAATATCTGATAGCTTATTTAATAACGGTCCCATTGATATATGATTTCAATATACTTACTTAGTATATACATAATATACACATACATACATATGTACATATATAAGTATACTAAGTATACTTAGTATACTTGTTATTAGTAATAACAAGTATACTAAGTATACTTAGTATACTTGTTATATACTAAGTACTTCGAAAAGTGCTCGACAGATGCGCCATATTGGCCAAAATGACCCCGACATTCGAGTGGTTCATACAGATTCGCTTAGCACAGCCTGATATTTCAATGAATGATACATAAAATATATCAAGAAATGTTTAAACATATCTAACTCTAACTAATACTAATTCTAACTAACCTCGTCTGGAAGCAAACTGCTTCCAAAGCAGCTCTTATAATGTGATTCTTTGTGGTGAACGCAGTCAAACCGCAGATAATTCTGAAACAAAATTATCATTTAAAAATATGCCACTCTGGAAATGCCACGAAGGTCTTATCGAATCCGACAAATGGCGGTACAATAACCCCGTTTAACCAAGACGAAAAATTTATTATTATTATATTTAAGACTTATTTATAATTCCTAACGTTTCGAATGCTTTACAGCGCCCATGATCACGGGGTATCTGAGACACTGTTTGAAATACTGATATCATAGTTATCCCGAGCTACCTTCAGCCTTTATAAATGGTAGAGCCACGCTGCAGCTATATTATGGTTGTAGCACGAATGCGTCGGCTCAATCAGGGTTCCTACCCAGCCAACATCTTAGTCCTCAGGGGTAACAACGCATCTGCATTTTGGTTCATAATCGAGGACAGATGTAGATGTCTAGGTGCCACAGCATCTACGTACCATCATACCATTTATTATCAGGTGGATTGTGTGCTCGTTTGTCACTTATTCTATAAAAAAAGCTTTTGAATATTAAAAATGAAACAAATTGAACGTCAAAGGTGCGAAACTTCGGATATTGCGATCGCTAATGATCCTCTTGTCAAACATGTTGATTACGACAAATGATACTATGGTAAAGACGTATATCTAGCAGAGTATTTTCTTTATTTAATTTGTTCCATTCAAGAAAACAGCCTACTCTTTTTTTAAAAGGCCGGCAACGCATCTGAATTTCCCAGGTGTTGTAATGTTGTTGTAGTTGTTCCTGGGCAGCAGTGTCACTTACCATCAGGTGAGTCAAATGCTCGTTTGCTTCCTCGGAAAAAAAGGACAGATAAAGAAGATTAAATATAGAACAACAAAGTACTTAAGTTTCCTACCTCAAGTGTTAAAGCTTCTCACATATAAAATGTTTTGTTAAGACCAAATCATTCGAGAAATATTTTTGCAGTTTCATTGTGATAAGGCCCGTATTTACTATGATTAGTGCGAGTGCAGGTGATTAGTAATTGCGATAAATGCAGGTGTGTAGTGTAAGTAGTGTCCAATTCTGTTTAATGGCTGTGTTTAGTTAATTCAGTTGTTAGCCGTTGACCAGCAAGTACTCTGTTTAACTTTCTTAACCTCTAGCGAATATGTACATCTCAAGTTTCTTATTTTAGTATAAACTTCTTTACTTCCTAATCCCGGTATGTTCATAGCTTAACTTATACGTAGAATAGCCACATCTCAGGCTAATTTAATTTTGCAGTTAGGGTATTTATGTAAAGACATTCATCATTTTTTCCACCTTGCCATTTTTGCAACACAAGCGAGCGTGCGACGCTAAACGCTAAGCACTAAACACTGTTGACCAGACGTATTTAGAGAAGGACATACTGCGAGTGAAGGAGAATGGAAGACGCAGGGGACGTGGATACTCGCAGTTCACTTGCAATAAAAATAAAACACGCTTCTAATCACTTTACTACGCAGATTACTAATCACTTGCACTAATCCATCGCTGTCCACCCCTGTTTACTCCTAATCACTAAGCACCTACACTAATCACGTGCACTAATCACTAATCAAAGTGAATACAGGCCTTTAAGCTGTGTCAAAAAATAAACCTGCGGGTACGTCGTGAAGAACCTACATGTCTCAGAAATGAATTGAAATGAGTTGATGTGTCCACACATCCTGTCAGTATATATCTGACTAACGAATTGGAGCTAAGCGATCGGACTCTGTCCTAAAAACCTTAGAAATCAAGGTTACCCTGTAACCAGTGGCCAGCTATGGGACGTATGTCATTTAACTAACTTTACACAGTCTTAATAAAGTAAATAATGTAACAGCCTGTAGACGTCCCAGTGCCGAAGAGACGATCCTATTAGCAGAATAATATCTATATATAAAATTCAACTGTTGTCCATTGGTCTCGCTAAAACTAAAAAACGGGTTGATGCATATTTTGATGAAATTTTTTGTGTGTTTGAATGTGTCCTGACAATAGATGGTTTAGATTCACATTTGGACTCGGTAAGTGGCGTTAGTGGTGGGTCGTTGTCGAATTTTTGACGGACGAAAGGCGACCGTTTTCCCGACGACGAAAACGGTTGCAGAAAACGGTCGTCGTTGCAACTGGTTTGAAGACGGCTTAAAAGACGAAACTTATCCAACATGGAATAGAACTGCGCTTTCGTCGAGTGAAATGGTTGTAGTTTCTTAGAACTATCAACGATTTGAAATGTATGAAATGATTTACTAAATAATTAGTTTTATCGATAGACTTTACTTAACGTTGAAATGAACTTCACTTCATACTTTTCCAGGTTCAGGACTGGCTGGGACTAACTTAGGATTACCACTAACATTAGCGACTGTATTTCATTTAATGATTTCTTAAATTTACGTGAACACTACACATTGAATAAAACTATTATTTACGGATTTTATCGCGTTTAATTACAACTTTAATTTATTTTTATTATCCCGACGTTTCGGGTGCTTTACAGCACCCATGGTCATGGGGGGATTGTATTTCATTGACAAAATATTCACATTTTATTGTAAGGAATGTTTAGTCCCTGTCTACGTTTGTAAACGAACGCGGAACCAACAATATAACGTGGAACGTTAATAACGACGACGCAACGAGTGAGATAGATAGTTGTATCATTGCGTTTTCGTCTGTATTTTCATAGGCGTAAAGTAAAAAATCGCACCAAATACTTCAAAGACTGGTTTGTGCAACAAAGACTGTTTGCACCCAGGACGTAAAACGGTTTCCGTGCGAAGCCGGATCAGTCGATTGGGGGATCAGAAGATCAGGGCGGGTCAGTAGTGATGTATACTTTGTAATTTTGAACTTACCCTCTAGCGTCCTTCCTCCAATATGGCGCGTACAAGCCGCTGAACGCCGGCACAAAGTACACGTCTCCCGTGGAGAACACCTGCCCAGCAATATGCTCTGTTTCTTGCACCACATCCTTTATGAGTTTCAGATTGTCGCGAAGAAACTTCATGGCTCCACCCGCCACCGCTATTGAACCTGGAATTTACATATAATTTAAAAATATAATGGCTTAACAAGACATTAGTTTAGATAGTACACAACTGAATGTGTAAAAACTTTATAAAAGAGATGTAACAAACATCTTACTGGCAACTACAGTTTATCTACATCTGCAACCAACTTACAACTGAGAAGGCTGATGCATCGTCACCCCTGACGACTAAGATTAGTTACTAGCTCTCAATATTCGTCAGACCGGAACACAGCACTGCTATGTATGCAGAAATAGGGAAGGGGATGAGTATAAAATGAACATGAATAGGAATGACACTCCTACCATCTAGAAAATTTATACAGCTAAAAACAATTTTATTTAAAAAAAAAAGTGTGCATGTGTGCAGTTCACACGCGGTAGAAGTGAAACCTTCAAATGAAATGAAATTTAAAATATATGCAATATAAATTTCACGGCAAATTATTTGTTTAATATAATAATTTTCTACTACAAGTATTGCATAAAATATAAGATAAAAGCTTAAATTTATAGAAAACAAACGTTACAATCCTTATTTTTAGACATCTAATGTCTAAATTTAGCGTAAAAATTAAAATAATATTTCATTAGAGTAAAATTTCTTTGCAAAAGCGCCATCTGTTTCATTTTATAGGTAAAGTCATTTTATCGAAAAAAATCGACTCTCAACTGTATAACTATTAGACGCATAGGTGGCCTAAACACAACTAATTTAAGGCCGAATACGACGTGAATGACCTTGCTCGTTTCGCAGCAAACCACGCGCCGCCAGTACCTACGCTTTGTTTATATAGACATGTGTAATACCTATAATCAAAGCCGTACGGGCTTTGATTATATTTCTCCGATGCAGAGTAATGAACAACACAGAGAGCATTGCTTACTTCTTAAATAAATTTTCTTATTTATAATATTAGTTCCTATAGATGATGGGGGATGAGTCGCTCGCGTCCGTAGGCTCCGACCACCTAACCTTAGGCCCACCCTACACGTGTCCCCCGGGTGGTGCTAAACGAGCGACAAAGCCGAAAAAATAGACTCGGCTCCTCGCCGTATGGTAGCGGCGTAAAATCTACCACCACCCCTTGTTCGAATGACTCAGGAAATAAAAGAAATGGCCCCGAGTTCCCGGCGCCCCTTAAATGGGGCAGGGGTGCGAAGAATCTCCGGGAGAAAAACCGGCGACGAGGTTCGCCACCCGTCACGTTATGTCTCCCGGAGGGGCGAAAAGTGGATTGCGGAAACCCGTCTGGCTACGCTGAATGTATGTGGAGGAATGAATGATAAGATGGATGAAGTATGCGAAATGATGAATGACAGAGGAATAGATGTGTTATGTGTGAATGAGACGAAACGAAAGGGAAAGGATGCCACTGCACATGGCACGTATACCGCGTATTGGTCTGGTGTAGGCGAGACCGAACGGGCGTGCCAGGGAGTCGGTTTCATCCTTTCAGAAAGAATGGGTCAATGTGTGAAAGAGTATGAATGTGTAAGCCCGAGACTGCTATGGATACGAATGAAAGTGGGCTTAAAGAAGCTGTTCCTGCTAGGGGTGTACGCCCCAGACATGTCTAAGCCCGCTTACATTCGAGAGCAGTTTTGGGACATGGTAAGGATGGTGTTGACAAAATGTAAGGAAAATGAAAATATTATTATGTTAGGAGACTTTAATGGAAGGGTTGGGGTGAAGAGGTCTGGTTATGAAAGGATATTGGGAACGTTTGGTGATGAAAGTATAAATGAGAATGGTGAAGACCTCCTCACCGTATGTGCGGAAAAGAATCTTTTTGTGACGAATACTTTTTTTTCGTCATAAGAAGATTCACATGTATACATGGGAAAGAGGTGATGATAGAAGCATGATAGATTTCGTAATTGTGGATGAAAGAATGAGGAGCGCAGTCGTAGATACAAGGGTTTACCGGGGGTCCAACGTAGGGACGGATCATTACTTGGTCTTATGTCGAATTAATGGTCTTTTCAAGCGTTGGCGGCATCGGACATCTGTGTCTACCACTGCGTTACAGCGTATAAGAATAGAGAAGTTACAAGATGAAGATGTGAAAGAGAAGTATAAATGTAGACTGAGAGAAAATATTAGATGTTTGAATGAGTTGTGTATGAATGATTTAGACTTGAAGACTGTGTGGGATAATATTAAGAAAGGTTTGGTGGATACCGCCACCGAAGTATGTGGTGTAAGTAAAAGAACAAATGAAAGGAAAAGTAATACGTTGTGGTGGGATGATGAGGTACGGGTGGAAGTTGAATCAAAGAAGAAAGCATGGTTAGATTTACTAGCAACCAAAGCTGGTAATTCTTCTGGTATGAATGATGAGATTGAAAGAAAAAAGGCAGAATTTAGACGTCTAAATAAGAGAGTAAAAGAAGTTGTTGAAAGGAAAAAGAAAGAAAGAATGGATAAGAATGATAGAAGGATATCTGATAATTTCCAGGCTAACATAAAAATGTTCTGGAAACTCGCAAGAACTGCCAGGGGAAATACAAAACAGCCTATAATAAATGCTATAAGAGACGAGAATGGATGTATTCTGAATGATGAAGTTTCGAATTTAAACAGATGGAAGGAATACTTTGAAAGCGTGTTTATGAGTGAAGAGTCGTATGAATTAAATGAACTAGAAATTCCGAAAGAAGTGGAAAGGGGTATGGAGATAAGTGTAGATGAAATAATGAAAGCAATGAAAAGCATGAAAGCAGGTAAGGCAGCTGGATATGATAGAGTATCACTCGAGATGCTAAGGGCTGGAGAGGGAGTGGTGGCAGGCCTGCTGTACACCTTGTTTAATTTATGTTGGGAATTAAAACGGGTACCGGATGACTGGTGTAAAGCAGTTATAGTACCAATATATAAAGGAAAAGGGTCACAGCAGGACTGCAAAAACTACCGCGGTATCAGCTTGCTTAGTATTGTGGGTAAACTGTATGCTAAGGTGTTAATTGAAAGAGTTATGAAAGAAACTGATGGAAAAATTTGGGATGTGCAAGCGGGTTTTAGAAAGGGAATGGGGTGCACAGATCAAGTCTTTTCCATGCGCATGATTGCGGAGAAGTTTTTGGCCAAAAACCAGAAAGTTTTTTGTGCGTTCATGGACTTGGAAAAGGCTTATGACAGAGTGGACAGGAATGTGTTATGGCAAACACTGAACTCATATTCATCATCAGGGTTGAGCGCTGGCTTGATACAGGCATTAGGGTCTCTTTATAGGGACTCTAGTGCTTGTGTCAGGATCAATGGGGTCTACTCGGACTGGTTTGGCATCCAAAAAGGTGTCAGACAGGGCTGTGTAGCTTCCCCTTGGCTGTTCAACCTATTTATGGACCGGTGTTTGCAAACTTTGAAAGATGAAGAATGTGGTTTAAGAATGGGCGAGTTAACCGTCAAATGCCTTTTGTATGCCGATGATCAAGTCATATTTGCGTCATCAGCGGCTGAGTTGCAAATGATGGTTACATTAATGAACTGGGAATTAAAAGAAAGGGGAATGAAAGTGAACGCAAGTAAGACGAAAGTGATGGTTTTTGAAAGAGAAGAAAGCAAAACGGTATGTGAAATAAGAATAGAAGGAGAGTTAATTGAACAAGTGGATGAGTTTGTGTATTTGGGATGTGTATTTAGCAGGGATGGTAGATATGATAGGGATATAGAACGACGAGTAAATGCAGGGAATAGAGTGAATGGGGCACTACACTCTATTATGAAGAACCAGAATGTGTCAAAACAGGCACGTATGTTAATTCATAATGCTGTGTTAGTCCCTACGTTAATGTATGGTAGTGAAAGCTGGGTGTGGCAGAAGAAGCACGAAAGTAGAATAAATGCTGTAGAAATGCGTTCTTTAAGAAATATGCTAGGGTTTAATCTGAATGACAGGGTGAGAAATTGCGTGATAAGAGATAAATGTGGTATGCAAGATGATGTTGTGACCAGGATTAAGAAAGGAATGCTTCGGTGGTTTGGTCACGTAGAAAGAATGAATGATGAAAGAGTGACAAAGCAAATTTATATGGCAGATGTGAACGGCCGAGTCGGGAAGGGACGCCCTAGAAAAAAGTTTGTCGACCAAATTGGCGATATTTTGAAAATGGGCCACGTTAGAAGTACCCTTAACCGACGAGCATGTATGCGTAGATATATGGATGTAAAGGAGGCGAAAGAGGTATGTCAGGATCGTGCCAAATGGAAGTCCGTAATCTCTGCCTACCCCTCTGGGTGACAGGCGTGAGTGTTTATGTTTATGTATGTAGTTCCTATAGATTATAAATTCTGTACTTTATTCGTTATAAAATATTGTTCGAAAAGTTATTGAATTGATAACGATTTTTTTTCTTAATTGGTGCATCGTACGTTAAGAATCTCATATAACTGAAAATGTTTGTTCTTGTGAGTCTTACAAGATGCCGTAATGCAAATTGCATAAATAATAAAGAAAAACACTAAAAAGTCGGTGATTGCCCCATAGTGGGGATAGGTACTGTGTATGTAAATTCTCACAAGACTACTCCGACTGGTCAATCACTTCACATCCGAAGTATTTCGGTTTTTCTTAATTATGTACTTTTACCCCATGCTTTCGGACAATACATTGACTGACATTATTTGCGGTCTCTGTGCTTGCACTACTCGGTACATTCTTTTCTGACAGGGTCTTGATAGTAAGTTTAGTGTTTAGTATTTCTCACTTGAAACTAGAAAAGTATAAATGATTAGTTTGGCTAATGTAAATGAGTAAAAATGCAACCTATTAGGCAGCCTCAAACAAAAAATTACCTTACAAAAATATAAGTATTAACCTCAAAATACAACATTCGAGCAGCGTTCATGCGATAAACTCTCTTTGTTTTACCACTTAGGTAACATTTATTTCTTTTCCTACCCATATTTACATGTATAGACACTTAAACGCGTACAAAACAATAAATTAACGATTTTCGCTACAGACACATCGACTGTTATCTTACGTCACAAGTCGAAGCGCCTGGTAATTTATTACGGCAAACTTTTATCTGGCAATATACGATATTATTATTAGGTGTTTTTAATTAAAACGAATTATGTTAATAAATAATATTTTGTATCGAAAATAAAGATAGCAGGTACCTTCGGAATCACAATACAAACATTTTTACGTAAAATAATTTTTCCTAAATTAAAATTCACAGAGTTTTTGAAGAACAATAATTTTATATATCATTTCTTAACATTTTCTTATTTGTTGGTATATCAATTTATTTTAAAATGACGATGACGTTGTGAAGGACCCGAACAAACCTACAAAAATGTTTTAAAGCTTAGAATTACTTCAGGTCAAAGTTCTAGTCAAGAGAAATACATAAATTTTCGCCAGTTCTCTTCGTATTCGGCCTTAATATAATATTCTATCTCATTCTCTAGCAGGATAAATCCTATACATGTATATGTTTATATCTCTTTTTTTAGTCTCGCTTTTTCGTTTAATCGAGTTTCAAATCACAATGATTCTAAGGGTAGCCACATATATTCGGAATGCCAACATAATCATGAATGCCTAACAGCCTATGGTTATGTTGGCTTTGTTAACCTTCAAACTAGAACACAATAGGTTGTACCTTGCCCAAACTAGAACTCCTGAGCAGATAGCAAGCTTAAGTAATAAGGAAATATCATATTTTTTTAATATAGATTAAGGGTGACAAACGAGCATACTGTCGACTTCACGGTAAGTAGATGCAGTGGCTCATAGACATATATCCTCCATATTTATCCTCTTTTATTGATGCGTTTTCAACCCTGACGAAGATGGAAAAACATTACAGTATAAATTTTACCTTCCAAAGCATATATCGCCGGTGCATTAGGGCCAAGCTTGTATGCCACTGTGGTAACAAGGCCATGCATTGACTGCACTCGCCTCGGCCCGGTATTGTATAAGAGGAAGCAACCGCTTCTGTAGGTGTTCTTAGCCTGGCCCGCTTGAAGGCAATTTTGCCCCACTAATGCCGCTTGCTGATTACCCAATATCTGTAAATATTTTATTTATCTTTATTCGTACATTACAGTCCATCAAAAGTCCACATAGGCCTCCCCCATAGATTGCCTCATGGGGGATATTTGTCATAACATCTCATGGTTTGCAACCGCTCTTATTAATTATTGTAAATTGTTATCAATATAACGCTTCTGCAAATCTTTTGTTCCAGCTTCCGTCAGTCGCCTCTTAAGATACCCCCGGGATGATATAGGATGGTGAGTTCTCATACGCCATTTTCAAAAAACTAATATTAATGGCAGACTAGATAGCACCAAAAAAAGGTCTAGTCTTTTAGATGGCTGCAGTAAACGGCTTAGAATATATAGCTTACAAATATATCAGAGAGCATAGATATAATGAGGGTAATGTGAGGGCGTGTTTTAACCAATATAGAAAAGTAAGGTTAAAAGCTCACAGAGGCGTCCTCTTTTTTTGTGAGGGTTATATAGTAATTAGTCCAACAAGCTGCTCGCGTATTTGCGGACTTATTATATCCTCGGAACATTTTATTCCTCAGATATACACGTTTTCCCAGGATATTTTCCTTCACCACCGAGCACGTGGTAAAATCAGTATTTACTAAATTTACAATTAACAATTTCGTTCAAACCACTGTAAATAATGAAAACTTTACACTATATTTATAGATATTTCAGTTTTATTTAATAAAGATTAAATGTAATACTTATGAAGTCAGTTTTTACTTTTACCACTGATTCGGAAAAAAACCTCTGTCCTGGGAAGAACCAGCAAGAAATCCAGTAGGACTTTAAAAAAAAGCACAATTGTAGATTTTAGCACAAATGGATTCGCTGACCATGCAAAACCACAGCCTGATATTAAAAAATGCTATGTTTCATATGGTGAGTGAGAGTGGTGAGAGAGAGAACTGGAGACCCTTAAATATATACTACATACAAAATATGCAAAATACAAATTCGATATTATAGCTGTAAAAGTTCAGATTATATACCTTACCCCAGATAATCGAATGCCCTCTAAAATTGATCCATCCTGGACGACACCATACAACTCCGAACTGCTCCGTATCTGCGGTAGTGAATCCCTGTGTATTCCAAACAATCTGAAACAAGGCATCAGTTGGATATTTATACAAACATTAAAACTTATTAAAAACATAACTCCATGACTAAAAATACATATTTAGCAGACTTGAAAAATAAAGGTAGTGGGTTCTCAATTGGGTTGTATGTTTTTTTTTAAGTATGTTGGTCCGATATAAATTCGGAGAATTATTGCACCCTTGAGGAAGGAAAAATAGAGAATGAAGTTTTTAAAGTAACTAAGACTATAGAATGTTGTTGTTACCATGAACTTGTGCTAGTTTTAGTCCTATCAAAAAAAAAACATTTAGTAAAAATAAGCAAGCGGACTTTAAAGAACCGAAAAAAGTAAAATAGTTCCTACATCAAAGCTGTCTGGATAGCTATGTTTTTAGTCAACTTAAGGAAAAATAGATGTAAAATTTTTTGATATAGTTAAACAGGTATTAGACGATATTTATAACTGCCGACATAAGTCGTGAGCACACTTTTGATTGGTCGATACGACGTTGACCACGACGACGTTCAACGTGATTGGTTCATTAGTCGATTCTCGTCGTCTATTGGTTTCGAACGTATCATTCGGCTTCCGTACACTTCAGAGCAATAATTTTAATGATAACTTTTTTAATAAGTTTATTTTCGTTGTTTTTGTCAGCTCGTTGTTAATTGTTGTTTGTGTATTCCTTGTTATTAATTGTTTTTGTTATTTCTTATTTTTGTTGTTATAATTTGAGTGTTCAGATTTTGGTCTAAATATGCAGAGAATGAAGAATTCGGTGTTAAATAGCCAATCGCGACAAATTTTCTATTCAATGTTTAGTTACATGAAAAAATTAGGTACTGCGAAAACATCATAGACGTATATAAACAGATTGCTGAGGCGACTAATGTATCAGTAGCTACTGTACGGCGCACCGCAACACCAGATTTTATGGAAGGCATATCACCTCTTCCTTCTTCTTAATAAAATAATCAATTCTAACCACCAGGTATACATTAAATACTTTATAGTAGATAATAAAATAACGGACACGAATATCTGCAACATTACTGTATCAAAGTAAAAGTTCATGTGTTCGAGTAAACATTTTCATAAAAGTCGCCGAAAATATTAAATTACGAATTGAAATAATAAAGGTACCTAATAATTTTGCCCGACAGTGTACCTACCTCCCACCACAGTTTATCTGTGCTCACCACTCGTGTCGGCAACTATAAATTGTTATCTTGTGACTTTCTCTGGTACGCTTTAAAAAATTTAGCATTTAATAAGAGGTAAGTCTTCAAAGAATTAAAAGAAAATTATATGTGGTAGAGCCATGCTGCTGTTATCTTATGGTTGTATCATGCATGGGTTGGCTCAACCGTAGAAGGACCAAGCTCTCACACAATACCAGCTTAAAATAGCTGCTCGATGTATGCTACATATTGCAGCTAAAAAATCTATTAAATGTTATTTTGGTTTGTCAATGGAGCGACGTCATTTTAAAATGTATGTTATTTCACTATCGACGCACGCTATATCAATGATTAAAAATATAATATTTTGTTAATATGTGATAAACTAAAATATAATTTTTATAGATAAAGTATATTTTATTAACAAATTGCCGAAATACAAAGTACTAACAGATTTTGAACCTTACCTGCACAACATAGGGTCCCAATTCAAAGTGTCCAGGTCCATGAGAAGAGTTCTAGATGCATTTGTGACGTCTGTTATGTGGAGACCGCCTTGGGGACCTCCGGTTAAATTCTGAAATAATTCAAGTTGTCATGATTGATGTTTTCCAGTAATGAATTATGAAACAAGAGCCTAGTCGTTTTATCAATCAGTCATTTCGGTGATTAGTCGGAACAAACAGTAAAAATTGTACCTTAATTATAAGTATTTTTTTATTTTTTATAGAAGAGGGGGCAAACGAGCATGCGGCTCACCTGATGTTAAGTGACTACCGCCGCCCATGAACAACCGCAACACCAGGGGAATTGCAGGCGCGTTGCCGGCCCTTTAGAAAGGAGTTAGCTCTTTTCTTGAAGGTCCCTAAGTCGTATCGGTCCGGAAAATTCGCCGGTGGTAAACAATTCCACAGAGAAGTTGTGCGAGGAAGAAAACTCCTAGTGAAACATACAGTAGCGGACCGCCAAGCATCTAGAAGGTGAGGATGGTATCGGGAATTTGGACGTGATGTGAGTTTTCGTGAAATACCGTATATTTTCGTATACATTTAGTAATAAGCTGTTATTTTAACATTACAAACAGACACTTTAATTTTTTTTTTGTGTAGATAATATATTGTTTTGCGCTATAATTAGCGCCTGGTATGTGGCGGCTGATTATTAGCGCCATCTGGTATCAACCAGCAGAAATAGGAGCATCAAGATCTTTCTAGAACTCTCCCACTAGCGCCATCTAGTATCGAATGGGAGAACTAAGCTTTCTAGAAAGCTCCACACTCGAACTTTCTGCATCTGGTCGGTCGGGGCCGGTATTTGCTGGAATATTCTGGATGTTTCGGTGGAAAAGTCCTATTTAAAGCCGTTAAGGGCCGCGACCGGAGCAGTATAGAATTGGCAATACAAGCGAAGTTTTCGGAGTGAAATAAAGTGTTAAGTGTGAATAATTATTAGTGTGATTTGAGTTTTAAAATAATTTTGGTGTTCCGTAATTAAAGTTTCAATTTTGGTAATTCAATAGGCAGTTTTTATTGTCAGGAACCTTAAGCTCGTAACAATATATAGGCTAGTATTTTCTTAACTTACCCAAACAATCCAAGAGTCGGCTGTCCCGAACAGCAACCGTTTATCCCTGCTCGCTCTCCTCACTGCCTTGATGTTGTCTTTAAGCCATCTCATTTTAAGCGCACTGAAATAGGGACTTATAGGCAGGCCGCTTATACTCTTCAAGTAGTTCTTGTTACGGTCGGGCACTTTCGCTAATATCGCGTCCACTGTGCTGTCTGTACGTATGTCGTTCCATGCTGAAATTTGTACATGTATATTACTTACGTTCCGTTTATGAGCTACGCTTAATTTTAAAACTGTTATATAAATTTTGAGTTATTGTAACCACTTGAAAATAAAAGCAAAATATGTACGCTACAAAAAGTTTCATTGGAAAGTAAGTTTATATTAAAAAATAAAAACTCTGAATTCAGAAACAATAATTATGTGGGAATTTATTAAGGGACATTACAAGTTCGAGATAACAATAAATACATCCCTCACGCCTCGTTTACTCCTAGTGGAAGAACTGTTTTTGAAATATATATGACACACCCCTAAAGTATTAAACCAACAACAAAAAACAAAGATATAGTACCTATTGCTGGGTGTAACGGTTCACCAGTGAATTTGTCCCATGCTATAGTTGTCTCTCTCTGATTTGTTATGCCTAATGTAACGATGTCTTCTTTGGAATAACCTGAAATAGAAAATGTTATTAGACTTAAAATGTGCTATTATAATTCTCATAGGGTTATTTCGTATAAGGAAATACAGACAGATAAAACTTTGATATAAAATCTCTACATAGTGTTGCGCGCTATAATTAGCGCCCGGTATGTGGCGGCTGATTATTAGCGTCATCTGGTATCAAGCAGCAGAAATAGGAGCGTCAAGATCTTTCTAGAACTCTCCCACTAGCGCCATCTAGTATCGAATAGAAGAACTAAGCTTTCTAGAAAACTCCACACTCGAATTTTCTACATCTAGTCGGTCGGGATCGGTATTTGCAGGAACATTCTAGATGTTTCGATGGAAAAGGCCTATATAAAGCCGTTAGGGGGCCGCGACCGGGGCAGTATTGAATTGGCGACACAAGCGAAGACTTCGGAGCGAAATAAAGTGAACTATAGTAGTAGTGTGTTTTAAGTTTTAGTTGGTGTTCAGTAATTAAAGTGTCAATTTTGGTACTTCAATCGGCAGTGAAAATATATGTCACGACCCCTAACCTCGTAACAATAGTATAAAACAAAGTCGCCGTCTGTACGCTTAGATATTTTAAACAAAGCAAAGGATTTGGACGAAAATTTTTGTGAGCGTTTGAGTGGTTTAGATTCACAATTGGACCCGGTAGGTGGCGCTGTTGTCGAGATCCAAAAATCACCCGTGCGAGCCAGGGCGGATCGCTAGTATAATAATAAGTAAATGTTCAAATCTCTTAGCATCTTCTGACTGAGGAGCTTTGTTTTTTATAAAAAAGAAGCGACAAAAGAACTTACAGTATATCCATACAACGCCATTAACAAAAGCAGAACTCTCACCTTAACTACCATAATTGCAAATATGTTCTAACCAAATGGCTACTTATGGTGATACCTCGAAAATTTTGTGGTTTTTCTATTTAACATATTTTTTTAAGTTTTATAGATTACAAACCAAAATTGGGGTATATGATTTTTGACTGTATGACCTTGGATTGCGTAAAAGGAAAACACGATATCATGTCATTTTCTCGATAGAAAAAAATTGCAAATTAGGCTCTAATTATTAACATTTCTCGATGACACCACAAATTCTTACGAATAATTTCATGGAATTATTTTTAAGGCATAGAAAATAATCACGTCTAAGTTCTCATAAACCAGTTTTTTAATACATAACGAAGTTTTGTTAAAATAAATAAAAATGTTGTTTGGCCCCTACTTAGTTTTTTTCCGAGCGCTTGCACGTTATGACACTCCCTCAGTCATCCGTTAGCATCACCGACAAAGGAATAAGCCACGCCCCCAAAACTTCGATTCATTTTCAAGGTATCCTCTTAATAAGAGCTATGATACCGAGGCTCTTTTGAGCAATATGAAATAATGTAATTTATTTGTAACACACACACATTCACTGTTTGTGACTCCCACTCACATATTATACACACACAGGCGCGCGCGCCCACGCACTTATACACCTTTGGAGTGAATATTATTAGCTTTTGGATTTTAATTTTTATAGCTAATTACTATGTAAAGATCATGCAAATAGTAATGTAAGTGCTATGGGAGAGTGCAGTCTCCTAACACAAGTTTATATACTTAAAAGGAGACCCCATCCCCGGTTATAATTTAAGTTTTATTTTTATAGAATAGGGTGACAAACGAGCACACAGTCTACCCGATGGTAAGTGGTTGCTGCGGCCCACAGAAATCTACATCTATCCTCGATTACAAATCAAACTGCAAATGCGTCGTCACCCGTGAGGACTAAGATGGAATGCCTCGTTTCCAGTAAAAAGGATCTCCGGTTCTCTACACTCACCATACGAAACACAGCAGCATTAAGCTACTATTTCACGCCGGTATTCTGTGAGAGCGTGGTCCTTCCCCGATCGAACCAACCCATTCGTGCTACAACTATACTATTAATATGCATGCAGCATGGCTCTACTATGTATGAATGTATGGTCATTTACCGAATAAACTATTTTTAATTCCACTTTTTTATTTATTTTTCATCTGATGGTAAGTGGCTACAGCAGGCCATTAGCGTCTGCAGCCCACTTGAAACAAAGAACGCTGCAAATTCGTTGTCACCTCCGAGGACTAAGAGAGAATGCCTCACGGCCTGTGAATATACTGCCTCTGGATTATTCTGCTATTTGACAACAGAAAATTACTATGTCGTGGTAAATTAGTACTTTAAATTACAATCAACAATTCAATTGACGCCGGTAGAGACTAAGCTTAAGGGTGATGCCCTCACTGACACTAAAGCTAAAGAATGCCCGTTTCGCTAAGACATTGCGATTTACCATTTAGGGCTTTATCAACACTTACCAGTAGGTAGAATTTTAGTTGACTAATGTCAAGAATTAATATGTTAGTAAAACTCGAACCGTTTAGGTCGCGTAGTATAAAATAAAAGAGGAATGCTCAGATCTCATTTTTTTTATAGGATAAGGGTGACAAACGAGCATACATTCCACCTGATGGTAAGTGGATGCTGTGGCCCATAGACATCTACATCTATTCTCGATTAAAAATCAAAATGCAGATGCGTTGCCACCCCTTAGAACTAAGATGGAATCTCTTGCTCATAGGTTACCCGATCAAACGCATCATATCGAAAACAAACGGTTCATATCGAAATATGCTAAAAACCATATTTCTATTAAATGGTTAAACAGGGTTAAACATGTCATCTATGTAAAATGTCAAAGTATGGAGATGACATTACTTATCTGTAGTTGAAAAATCTAGCATACTTTTCGGCCGCCTACTCTATACCGTCATCATTAGCAAAAGTTTAAAATGCTATTAAAAATTGACTATAGTTTACAAAATAAAAAGAATTTAAATCAGTTCTTATACTATAGTTTATAATTTATATTCAAAATATAAGAGCGACACTTTAAAATGTTTACATACCGGATTCTTAGCTCTCTATCATAATTAATTATGACATAATACGTATTTAGCTAACACGTGTAATTAATCGTTACAATGCCGTTTTCGTATTATCTAATCAAAACTAAACATTTGATTAAACGACCAAACCAATTTACTTGCGACGATTTCGAAATATATCGTAGATTGTACCTAATTTGTGTGCCCTCCATGTTTAATTTAAATAAGTTGTACTCTGACCGCGTAGCAGCGGTGTAAGAATATTTAATATACCCTCCCCCCATACCGTCCCGTAGGTGTCGTAAGAGACGATATAATGAAATTGAATCAGGTGATGGACAGCTCCTGATAACAACATAAAATAAATAAGATTTTGTAAACTATGAGGCAATTTATGGAGGACGCCAATGTTCAGTAGTGTACTTTTATAGGCTGTAATCGATGGATAGATAGATTTAAGGTGTTGTTTTTTTTGTAATTATTGTAAATAGTTGTGTGTGTTCTGTAAGATATTTTATTATGTGGTAGAATCATGCTACAGTTATAAAAGTAGTATAGTTGTAGCACGTATGGGTCGGCTCGACCGGGGAAGGACCACGCTCTCACAGAATACCAGCGTCAAATAGTAGCTTAATGCTGCTGTGCTTCGTATGGTGAGTGTAGAGAACCGGAGACCCTTTTTACTGGAAACGAGGCATTCCACCTAAGTCCTCACGGATGACAACGCAGCATCTGCATTTTGATTCGTAATCGAGGATAGATGTAGATGTCTATAGGCCACGGCAACCACTTACCATCAGGTGGACTGTGTACTCGTTTGTCATCCTATTCTATTTAAAATAAACGACTATTTATATATCTATCTATCTACGCTTAGGATTTCTCCCAAAGGCCACGACAACTTACGAAACCCGAGACTTACTGCATGATTTATCAGATCGCCAATCTTTTTAGTGTCAAGAGTCACCCTATAACCTTCTTGCGTAGAAAGAAAATCAAAACCCCACACGTACAGACGGCCGACAGGTTCCCTAGCGGCAGCTCCGTAGACTTCGTACTATGGGCGGAGTACGGCTTCCTGAATGCCTTACCAGGCCATCACTTTAAGCACATAAATTCGTTGGTTCCGCGCCTGATCTCTCTTTGGTCGTGTCGAATTGCCGTACCATCGGCTTACGAGAGTAAGAGAAGAAAGAGTGGACTTCCGTTTGCGCACACACTCGTGCGCTATAATCTTGTCTAATCTGCGTTGAAACTGGTCGCCGTGACCGAAATTCGTTCTGGAGGACATTTATTATAATGTAATCTAGAAAATGTACTATAAATATCTTTAGAAGACATTTCACTCACCTAATTCAGTCAGTTGTTCAATAGCTTTCTCGGAGCATGTTCTTATATGGTTCAAAATTTCCATCGGATCCTGTTCGTACCATCCTTCCTGTGGCTGCACTTCTGTCTTATCTAACTGATAAGCTGCTAATTCTTCTGAACGCTCAGCTTCGTATATCTGGAAACAAAAAAAAATATTGTTACATGTTTAATGCTGAACTCGAAAAATCGACAACCGTGTAGGAGAAAAGTTCTCCAGTGGCAGTCTCGTACTGGTAAGCAGTGTATAGCGATTTACCACTAGATAGATTGACGACCAGGTAAAAGATGCAGGAAGTCGATGGATGCAGGTGACTGTGTTTTGTGGAATTCTATGGGGGAAAGCCTATGTTCAGATTTATGAAGGGCTCGTCATCATTTGATGAATGTTGAAATGATGATAATGTAAAGCCCACAGGGCCACATGTTACATTACAGTTGATCAGAATACCTTACATGGCGCGCCGAAAGCGATATGTTTTTTGCTCAAGTTGCGTTGGTACCTGATGGTACCTAGGTGGATTGAAAAGTACTCGGCCTAACACAGATCCATTCAATTCTAAAAATCAAATCTACCCACATTATTTAGTTCAGTTCAGACTAGTTCATTGTGTGAGGTTCGAAACGTGTGCGATAATTAGTTGTGATTTTATAAATTTATTAACAAAGTAATCGGACATAATTTCCGCGAATGGAGCAAATCGAGCAGCGTGCCGTCATTAAGTACCTCCATAAGAAGGGGCTATCATCAAAAGCCATCCATGATGACATGGTCAGTACATTAGGCGATTGTGCTCTGTCATATTCATCCGTCAAAAAATGGATAGCAGAATTTAAGCGTGGTAGAGAGAGTGTGAAAGATGAACCCCGCTCTGGAAGGCCTTCGACGTCAACTACTGACGAAAATATTAAAAAAGTACTTGATTTAATAATGGGAGACCGCAGATTAAAAATTAGAGAAATAGCCGAGATTATAGGCATCTCTTATGAACGAACTCAAAACATCATTGTCAACGAGTTGGGTTTCCACAAGGTGTCTGCGAGGTGGGTTCCGCGACTGCTTTCACTTGAACAAAAAAAGGACGCGATTGACTATTTCATGCGAATGTTTGGAGTTATTTGAAGCCGATGCAGATGATTTTTTGAATCGTTTTGTTACTATGGACGAAATATGGGTTCATTACTGTACACCGGAAACAAAACAACAATCAAAACAGTGGAGAAGACCTGGTTCACCACCCCCTAAAAAAGGCTAAGTCGATTTTGTCGGCAAATAAGGTGATGGCTTCAGTATTCTGGGACTCGAAAGGTGTGATTATGATTGATTATCTTGAAAGGGGTCAGACTATAAACTCTGATTACTACTGCACCTTACTACGTCGTTTACGAGAGGAAATAAAAGAAAAACGTCAAGGAATGCTCAGAAGAAAAGTCCTGTTTCATCAAGATAACGCCCGTGTTCACACGTCAGTACAGTCAATGGCTGAAATTCACAACTGTGGCTTTGAACTGTTACCGCATCCGCCGTATTCACCTGATCTGGCACCATCAGACGTCTTTCTGTTCTCTAACCTAAAAAAGCACTTGGGAGGTCAAAGATTTTCGACAAACGACGAGGTCAAAGCAGCTGTAGACGCATATTTTGACTCTAAGGAAGAATCATTTTTTTTCAACGGTCTAAATGCTTGGAAGGGGAGGTGGCAAAAGTGTATTGAACTTGATGGTGATTATGTAGAAAAATAAAAATATAACTGATTTAGTATGTGTTTATTTTCTTGGTTAGGCCGAGTACTTTTCAATCCACCCTCGTAAAAGTGGATTCTGAGACCCAAAGACACTTACGTCCTTCCTCGATTAAGAAGCTAATCCAGATACGTTGACAGTTTTGTTTTTGATACTGCAGTCTCACTTACCTCTTCTTTTATAAGCTTAAAGTACATGTTACATCGCAAATTAATGTAGTGTAGGTTAGAACGAGTAAGTGCCTCTGTGTGATTCACTTTTATATATATATATATAATAGAAGTATGAGTGCAATACGAGCATACAGTCCACCTGGTAAGTGAATACTGTTTGTCTATAGACCCCCACATCCATCCTCGATTAAGAAGCTAAATTCAGACACACCGTTACCTCTGAGAATAAAGATGCAATGCCTCGATCACTAGTGTAAAAGGGTCATATATAATAAAGGGTTCGTACGTGTACTTAACATAGCAGTATTATGCTCTTATTATACACTGGTATTCTGTAAGAACGTGGTTTTTCCCGATCTAGTTGAACCATTCACATACACACATGTATTTATAATATGTACTGTGCTGTTGACTGCATCCTAGAACTTTCAAAAGTTGTCGCTGCTCAAAAGAGGACCTCAACATTATAACTTTTATGTGAGGGTCACAGTGTCAAAAATCCTGAGTAAAATAGCAACATAATACTGCTGTGTTTCGTCTGGTAAGTGACGAGGACCAGAGGCCTATATAGTGATGACGAAGCATTTCATCTTAGTCCCCAGAGAGTGACTAAGTACGCATCTACGTCTTGATCTTACATGTAGGTGTCTGGACCACCAGGTAAACTGTGTTCTGATTTCACCATTATTTTTTATGATATATCTCTATTTCGAAAATAATTTAATCAAAATATTTTTGTATCCCAATTGCTACATTTAAAAATTAAAAAATGCCTAAAGACACAAATATTTGGATATATTAACATTCTCTTCAGATAAATTCCTTAAGCAAAGTTTAATTGCTCTTATCAAAGGCGCACAAACTCATTGCGCCGATTTAAACTTGGCAAACATACAAAACCAGTTTGCCAATTTCTATGGACGAAAGAGTACCAGAAAGAACAAATTTGTTCATCGTAATTACTTTATTTCGAAGGAATTTCATCCGATTTCTCATAAAAAGTTCTTGCGAATTATCTTTATTTTACTTATTTGAAGAAAAAAACATCAAACCTTTCACTAGGTTTTTCTCCTATATCATAGAGGCGTTTTTATATACATAACTTGCATACAGACAAAAACCTATTATTAATAATTTTTCGAATATTGTGCACAGGTCTCCTTTCGTTGCTTTATTTTTATAGAATAAGGGTGACAAACGAGCAGACAGTCCACCTGATGATAAGCGGATGCTGTGAATGCTGTGTAGAATGCTATTTTACGCTAGTACTGTACGGAGCATGGTCCTAGCCCGGTGAAGCCGACCCGTTAGTGCTACGACCACAACAAAGCTGCAGCGTGGCTCTATCACGTTTAGTCCACTAGAATATCTAAAAAATACGCATACAAAAAATACAATAAAATTCTCAAAAAGTGCATTTATAGGGCTCAAAAATTACAAAACCAAAGAGTTATAAATAATGCTTCTAATAAATGTAAAGCGACATGGAATATTATCAATGATAATTTAAATAACGATAAAGAATATAATGCTATTGACATGATAAGTATAAATGACATAAAATATAGTAATCCTAATGTAATATGTGAATTTTTTAATAACTATTTTATAGATATGACGAACCTAGAACATGACGATTTAAATTCTGATAAAATTAACATTCCATTCAATAAAAATTCAATATTCCTAACCCCAACTAATGAAATGGAAATAGCTACTATTATTTTATCGCTTAAAAACAGCAATGCAGTTGGACATGATGGCATAAATACACGTGTACTAAAGGCATGTGCGAGGGATTTAAGTCGACCTCTTACTCATGTAATTAATTTGTCAATGGAACAGGGATCATTCCCCGATATCCTTAAGTTATGTATTGTTAAGCCAATATACAAGAAGGGCGATAAATGTGATATGAATAACTATAGACCGATAACTCTTATTCCAATACTATCTAAAATATATGAAAAAGTAATCTTCAAGCGCATTGATAGCTTTATTACATCAAATAATATACTGAGAGAAGAACAGTATGGTTTTCGCAAAGGTCACTCTACTACGTTGGCTTGCTACAATCTGATACATTATGTCACTGAATGTATTAATCAAAAGATACCAGTTATTGCTTTATTTCTAGACATGACCAAAGCTTTTGACTTTGTTCCACATAAAAGATTACTGGATAAACTCTATCGATATGGTATTAGAGGTAACGCTCACGACTGGTTGGAAAGTTATTTGTATAATAGACAGCAATGTATTGAGATAGCAGCTGTTGTTGAATCCAGACAGTGTACTTTCCGGTCAAAGTACCGTGTCAACCCATGTGGAGTTCCCCAGGGCAGTATATTGGGGCCCCTGTTGTTTTTGATATTTATTAACGACTTACCAAATGCAACTCAACATAAATGTTACATGTTTGCAGACGACACTACCGTAGTAATAAAATGTGACGAAATAGAAAAATCCAATATTATCATTAACAAGACTTTACACAACCTAATCAATTGGCTACATTCAAACAATCTCAAAATAAACATACAAAAAACAAAGGGAATCCAGTTTACTACTTATAGAGCAAGGTCAATGGATGTACTAGTCGATTATTGCGGTAATATTGTTGAAATTGTTAATGAAGCTAAATTTCTTGGATTTACTTTAGATAAATTTTGTGACTGGAAAGCACATATAGACAATCTATGTACAAAAATAAATAAATTTGTATACGCGCTACGACGACTCAGTAATGTATCAACCATTGAAACTGCTCTATCGGCCTACCATGGCTATGTGTCATCACTATTAAGTTACGGAATTATATTGTGGGGAGCTTCAGCGGATGTAAACCGGGCTTTCATAGCCCAAAAGAAATGTATTAGGGCTATTTGCAGAGTACATTTTCTTGAAAGCTGTAAACCCCTTTTCAATAAACTTGGAATTCTACCGCTACCGTGCCTGTATATTAAACAAATGTGTATTTTTGTACGACAACATTCTCACTATTTTGTCACTAGAGAGCAAAACAAAAAAAAATAAACCTACGAGACAGGGAGAAAGGATCGTGCAACCTAGAATAAGACTTCAACTATACAGACGAAGCTGTTATTGTATGGCTATTAAAATTTATAATAAGCTTCATCCAAGTTTCAAAGCTCTGCCGTTACCATGTTTTAAAAGAAAGTTACATTCCTGGCTTTTCACTAGGTGCTTTTATTCAGTCCAGGAATACTTAGATGACCAAGAGGTTTTTAAATTTTAACTGTATATGTAGCTTCTCTGTGTTTACTTTATTTTATGACTTGAATAATTTGACATAAAATATTATACAATTTATAAATGATACATGTAATGCTCTGTCTGTGACTCATGTTTACCATTAGTTTTCTGTTTAGTATGTTAACTTATTTTTAGCTCTAAGTAGACTAAAATGTAACTACTTTTAAATTTGCATGACAATATTAAGTCAAACATGAGGACGTACCATTATGTTAACATCTTTGCACTACCATGTTTAAAGCAAATAAAAAATTTCTGATTCTGATTCTGATTCTGATTCCACTGCTATGCTCTAATACGAGTTGACCGACTACACATGTCCACAAAATATTTTGTTTCTCAGGCGTAAAGATTTCCTCACGATATTTTCCTTCACCGCCGAGCACATGGTAAAACAGCACTTAAAATTGCATTAAATATTTACAGTGAGCGCTTATCGCCTGAGTTGCCACTGCACACAATTACTTAAAAATTAAAATTGCCCAATTTAAAAATAAATAAATAATATAATTAGGTATGTACCATTATTCGATAATATCAGAATAAAAGTACAATTAAACACCGTGCTATGTGGTATGTAAAGTTAAGCGTTTTTTGTTAAGTTTATAAATATTTTTAGTTAAAGATGAATCTATAAAATCTATTAAACTATTTAATCTATTAAACTGTTTAAAATTGAACCTAATATTTTTATTGCATAACAAAATGCATTGTTATGTCATCTTAAAAGATTATGCAAAAATATAAACCGCGGTCATTACATACACAAATAGATTCCAAGGCCAAGTACATACATGAAATCGAATGCGCGTATCGCGATTTTTATTCTCTCACAATGTTTTTCGCTCCTGCCGAGGGATTTTATATTTGCAAGCAACAGTTTTATCGATGACCGGCGGGTAACGGAAACCGGTTCGCTCGCGTTTTATTATAATATAAATGCTATAATTGACCCTAAGCTGCAGCACATGTGTACGTGCACGCATATACTGCTGCCGACATTCAGTGACAGAGAGCAGGCATAATTATAGACTGTGAGGCATTTCATATTAGTTCTTGGGGTTGGCAACTTTGTGACTTGATTTCTGCTTTGTGAAGTTGGTTGCGTCCACGGTTTGCAGTAGTGTTTCACCAATTTAAGATTTTGTATTCCGTCTGGCGTCAGATTTCAACCTTAGTCCTTTTGGGTATATAACCCATGTCAAAAAAGAACCCTAGGTGGTTGAGTTCTTTTAAATGGTATTTTTATAGTATACGGGTGGTAAACGAGCACACAGTCCACCTGATGGTAAGTGATGTGGCCCATAGACATTCACATCTATCCTAAAAACGAATCAAAATGCAGATGCGTTGTCACCCGTAAGAACTAAGATGGAATGCCTCGTGTCCAGTAAAAAGGGTCTCCGGTCCTCTACACTCACCAAACGAAACATAGCAGCGTTAAACTGGTATTTGACGCTGGTATTCTGTGAGAGCGTGGTACTTTCCCGGTCGAGTCGCATGGCTCTACCAATAAATAGTGGTATGGTTAAAATAAGAGTTTACCATCGCTTCATTCGCCGTTATAAGGGGAGATATACCTTCTAACAAGCCGTCAAGCCTGTGCCACGAGCACAACCACGCCTTATAATAAAGATAATTTTAAATTATGAACATAAAATTTAATCGAATAAGAGCTATATTTTGCCTCTGCAGTCTGATGTAGGTAATAATTATTTTAACGACGTTAAACGCCAACTCCGTGAGAGCTCTACAACTCTAGATAGCGTAAGAAGTACTCTACGGTCGTTCTTTTGATATTATATCGAGTATACATAAGCAAGTTATTTATACTCTACGAATATAATAATAAAATTCAACGTGATGGAAAATTAAACCACAGAAACAGTGTTTATATGGCATACGAGGACTGCCCTAAAAGTATCGGGAATGGAATATTTCCACTGTTCCTGTCATATTAAAATCTTTTTAATTGAAAAGTCCTTGGTTTTAAAAATCGAATACCATTTATTTATTTAAAAAAAGATTCTCGGTCTTGTGACAAGGTTTTGTCAAACTTGTTTAGTCGTTGAGAAAATGGAATTGACTCGAGAAAATTCAAGAGCGATGATTTATTATTACTTTCGAAGTGGTTTAACACAAAAACAGTGTGTTGACCGGATGATTTCTGCATTTGGTGAAGAAGCCCCATCCAAAACCACAATTTATCGCTGGTTTGCTGAATTTCAACGTGGACGTGTCAAACTCAGTGATGATCCCCGTCAAGGTCGTCCAAAAACTGCAGTCACCCAAGAAAACGTTGATGCTGTGCGTAAGCTGATTGAGGGAGATCGACATGTGACATACCGCGAAATTCGGGCAACTTTAGACATTGGCATGAGTCAAATACAAATAATCTTGCATGAACAATTAGGTGTAAAAAAGTTGTTATCCCGATGGATACCGCATTCTTCGCTTCGCTCTGTGATGAGCAAAAAGCAGCTCGGCGTTACTTGGTGCGTCAGAACTTTCGAAAGATTCCCACACAGGATCCTCAAATGCTGTATACAACATGATATCAGGTGAAGAATCCTGGATATACGAGTACGAACCCGAAACGAAAAACCAGTCACGAGTTTGGGTGTTCGAAAATGAGTTAAAGCCAACAAAAATTGTTCGTTCACGGAGTGTTGCAAAAAAAAATGGTGGCCACGTTTGTCTCCAAAACCGGCCACGTTACGACTATTCCTCTTGAGAGACAAAGAACAGTTAATGCAGAATGGTATGCTAGCATTTGTTTGCCACAGGTCGTTTCTGAACTCCGTAAAGAGAACTGTAACCGCCGCATCATCCTCCATCACGACAATGCGAGTTCTCACACCGCACACAGAACAAAAGAGTTTTTAGAGCAAGAAAACATAGAATTATTAGCCCATCCGCCGTACAGCCCCGACCTAAGCCCTAATGATTTCTATACTTTCCCTAAAATAAAGAATAAATTGCGTGGACAGAGATTTTCATCACCTGAAGAAGCTGTGGACGCCTACAAAACGGCCATTTTGGAGACCCCAACTTCCGAATGGAATGGTCGCTTCAATGATTGGTTCCATCGTATGGAAAAATGTGTCAAATTTCGCGGAGAATACTTCGAAAAGCAATAAATACATTTTTAAATAGTAATGTTGTGTCACTTCCTTGATTTCCGAAATTTTCAGTGCCGCCCTCGTACCAATAATGTATGTACCTCTACTAATTAAAATACATATGCGTGTATAGTTTTAAGTACACAAAACGCCTCAAAAATACAAAAAAATTCTACCGTCATCTTATTGCTTGTACTTAGGGTTACCATCTGACCGGATAAAGCCGGTCTAGACCGGATTTTTACGTGTTAGACCGGACTCCGCCCGGATTTTACGTCAGACCGGATTTTTGTCATACTTGCATGTCCTCCCGCCCGCTCAAGCGACGGGTGCCGCACGCACTCACTCACTGAACCCGGAACTCCCGGAACGCAAGCAAACCGCACTTTTTCAGAAACACAATATTACAGCAGCTGACCAAATGCAGATAAATAGCGAAATAAAACAAATGTACGAAGAATGTATCAACTACATAAACCTTTGGATAACACCCTTACAATCCGTAAAATGCTTCGAATGGACGTATTTAAAGAAACAATTTGAAAAAATTACAGATGCTCTAGTGTTTTTGAGGGATATAGGAATTCCTGTTGACGCAAAACTATTTGAAGAGTTCTGCTTGCTTAAGAATTTTCTGAACACAAAACAGAGCGATTTTTATGACGAGCTCGTTGAAAAGCAATGGTGTATCTTTTTTAATACAATTAACGACAGCTCAAGAGTTTCAGAATTTCTGAAGATTTGTCAATATTTCTTTAGTATTTTGCCACACAACGCAAATGTGGACAGAGTCTTTTCTCTCATGACTTCTCAGTGGACCAAAGAGAGAAACAGACTTTCAGTGGAGTCAGTGAGAGCCATATTGCTTACGCAATATAACTATAAACACATGATGTGTGAACAAGTTTATTGCGAAATAGCTGGAAAAAAAAACAACTTTTTGCATGCGATTGCCTGCAACCAAAAATATGGGTCTAAATAATATAAGTAAATAAAAACGTATTTAAATACTATGATTTTTATTTAATGCAGGTGCGTGACCGGACTTTTTTTTTCAAAATCAGGATTTTTAGACATGTCAGACAGGATTTTGCACTTTTAGGCCTGGTAACCCTACTTGTACTTGACGTTACAGGCATATCGCAATAATTAACTTACAAAAGATGGCGCGCGTATCGTACCGACAAATTTATTTGAAAGTCATAATTATATCGTTCAACTGCAATGAATGTATTATCCATTCCTAATTAAACAATAATATAATATGTACATACGAGTACCTCTTTCAATTTTAAACAATATTTACACAATTATTTCTTCTGCGGCATCAACGCGCCGTGTACCAGTTCCTACTATTGTGTAAAATTTAAACTAACACCAAAAAGTATTTGCACTACATACCACAAATCTGACGGTTTTCGTTCCATCATCAATGACGCCGACGAGCGGCTTCTTCAAGCCGTCTCTTACCGGCATATCGGCCTCTGCAAAGAAATATTTCGTTATTATTATCAATAGGCAATCAATATTTGCAAGACAGAATGAGACAGAAAAGTACTTTAATTGCATAAATCGCCAGTTTTAACAGAAAGTTAAGTCACGGAACCAAATTTTTAATTGCATCTCATAAAATTATAAATGATGCTCTCCGTCTGTGATGTGGATATTAAATATTCCACCATTCTAAAAGCTTAACAAGATACAAGTGGTAGGCTAGTGGAAATACGAACGTAAATATATATTTTTTTTTTAATTTTATATACCTGCTGTATTTCACTTTCAACTACGCAATAATTAATATATAATATAAAATACATATAAAACACAAATATCTAATATGAAAAATATAAAAGAAAGTACTAGATATTATAATACAATAGCCAATCCTGTGCATTTTACCATCTACCACTATAACACCACTTAAGTCATCTAGCAACTTTGTCTTATGTGTTAAGATTCATGACCAGCCCTATCGGAGACTGTTCGGAGTTGAAATATTACCTTTAATATAGTATCAAAGAGATTTAAAAATATATATACACTATAGAGCGGACATTGGGAACATTTACATACAAAAGCTGTGCCACGCGCATGTATTATACCCTCTAGCGAAATATAGCAATACTACACTGAATATTTATTTAGAAAACTTTTAGCTATTTCCCAGTAGGTGACGCTACTAAACATAAGGTTAAAATCTATTGTAGGCACTACGTTAATCACTAACATATTTGTAAATAAATAGTGAATCAAATCAAATCAAATCAAATTCATTTATTTGCATAATACAGGTATAAGAGTTGTTACAAAAAAATTAGAATATGTATACTGTATTATTACCTTATGAGGTGTGCAAATACTTTACAATATAGTCTACGCATTACTAATTCAATAATGGTGCTTTGAAATAGAATTAAGAATAAGAAAAAAAATATTGTCAATAGTTGAGTCTATAGTGCTAATTGTTGTCATACTAAATACCTTGATATTATATAAACTCGAAATTAAATATTTTTGATAATAAGAATAATCAAATCCAAAAATGTTGTCATACAAAATTTAAGTTAAATTATAATTTAATATACTAATATTATTAAATTGTTACAATGTGTCACATACATTAGGTAAATGTATAAATTACTATTATTCAGTTATAATTAAATTCAAATTATTATTATTAAGTTACAATTAAATTAAAACTATTGCTATTAAATTATAATACTTTTGTCCTCTAGGTACTCTTTGACTTTATAATAACATTTATTAATCAGAAATTTGTGTAATATCGTCTTAAATCGTGAGATAGGCAACTTTCTGACATCATCTGGTAGTTTGTTGTGAATCAGTGATGCCATACAAAGAATACTTTTATTGAGTAGTGCTGTATCTCCATACGGTATTTCTATGTCTAATCTTTTTTTGTCGCGTAACTGTCTATAGTAGCTCTTAAAAGCAGTCTTGTAAAAATTTGGATTTGATTTCACAAATAGATTTATTTCGTAGATATATATCGAAGGCAATGTCAGAATTTTTAAGTGTCTAAAATATGGTTGACAGCTTGTAGTATTATCCAGATGGCACATTGCTCTGATGCATTTCTTTTGAGCTTTGAATGCAGATTCTTTATTTACCGAGTTGCCCCAAAATATTACACCATATCTTAGGATAGGTGCAACAAGTCCGTGATAGGCTAATAAAACGGCTTCTTTATTGACAATCTTGGAGAGTTTGTAAAGAGCAAACGAGGATTGATTAACTTTTTTGCAGACATTATCTAGATGTGTTTCCCATGATAGGTCATAGTCAATATTAATTCCTAGAAATTTTATATTTGTCACTGGATATACTGTATTGCCTTGGTAACTTACATGTATAGTTATGGGTTGTGTTCTTTGATAAAAGTGCATTATTTTTGTTTTGTCCATATTTATTTTAAGATTGTTTTTTAGGAACCATTGAATTATTGTATTTAATGTTTTATTGATTTCATTTTCGTAATTGTCTTGCCTATCACATTTTATCATTACTGTGCTATCATCTGCAAAAAGTACCATTGGATGTTCAATATGTCTAGGGAGATCATTTATATATACCAGAAATAGTAAGGGACCTAGGACACTCCCTTGTGGGACTCCGAATTTTATGGTTCTAGTGTTAGATCTATATTTGATTTCATTTCGTGTTTTCTGGCGTATTTGTGTAATTTCTGTTATTTGTTGTTCTGTTTGACGTTACTAGATAACAGACGGCACTTATTATAATAATTTTTCTTTCTTCTCGAACAATCCACTAGAAATAACAAAATTTAAAGATTATTTGGTTAATAAACATTATTCTTACGATAATAAACCGAAATCACGTTCATTTTTTGCTCCATATCGTGATTTACAATACTTTAATACACAACCAGGTATATTTTCTTTAAAAATATTTTTAAATTTATAAAATGTATGCGTCTCGACCTTTTGACGATGTCACTCATACTAAATGACAAAAATCGGAGATATATCCTATAGGACAAAAGTTACAGACGACAATTTTGTTACTGATGTCCGGTCTATTACTACTATTACCTATTTAAATGTCTTTGTATAGTATACATTATATTCAAAGAATACTAAGTAACATGTAATAACCCGCAATAGCATTAACATTTAAATTTATACTTTGCCTTTACATTTATATTTGTAAATCAGCAGCGTAATAATGTATTACAAATATGAAATTCCCATTATAAAAAAAAGAAAAAAAAATCGTGACTTAGTAATATAGTTAAAAAACAAAGGTCAATAATTCTTAAAATTTGCATAGTAACGCAAGTACACAGATAATAAATATAATATTATCTTGTTTAATTTCAATAATCCGATGGATACAGTTAATTAAGCGAGAGATAGGTACTAATTGTGATGATAAGGGAAGTAAGTGAACTACGAGTCATCTATAATACTGACTTGTCTTGACTTCTATGCAATAAAATTGTAGGTAAAGTACTTTGTACTTAGTGATATAAAGTCCAAGGTTCAATATAAATTATCTTTGTGAGTAACGATTTCTATTACTTACAAAGATATTCGTAATTTAAATTATTTACTAGTCTGTGAGCAAGTCCGTTATTCTCTCTCAATTTATTTTTTAGGGTTTCGTAGTTAAACATCAAGAAAACTTTATAGTTTCGCCATGCCCCCCTTACTTAGGGACCCTGGGTGCTACAAATGTAATTTGTGCTGTAATTTGTACGGTAAATTGTGTACGGTTCGTAAACTAAGGAATATGCTTTATAATACAATACCCATTTCTTTCAGTAAACATATTTCTAATCTCTATAATATGCCTAAAAACTCGATTTTTTTATGTTACATCAACTTGTTACGTTTTGGCCGTGAAAGGCCGCGCCGGTCAAGGTGTTCAGCCCGAGGAATAACTAACGCTCTGTATGTTATTTCAGAGCTGTTATATATATATCGCGGTAGCTACGGAACTTTGATAGCGCGATTTAGACTTTGGTGCGTTTCACTTGCCACAACGTGTTTTATTGTTTTCATTCTAAGTTTCTGTAAAAATACTAGTCATTGGCTTTCTTCTGTTTTATGTTTTGCTTAAAGTCTTAGCTGTAAGTCTTCCAAAAAAAATTGTAAATTGGTTCAGTAGCCAGATACGACTACACCTATCCTCGATTAGGAATAAAAATGCAGATATGACACTCCTGACGACTAAGTTGAAGTGGTTCGTTATCAATAACCTTCTTGTCATAACTATATAAAACACAACAGCGTTATGCTGTTATTTTTTATTTACTGGTATTATGTGAGAGTATTGATTTTATGTGAGAGTATGACCCTGATCGAGCTGACCTATATTTCATACAAAAGTCAAGTAAGATTTTACAGATACTCTCTCGTAGGAAGAAGGATAAACGACTATATTAGTAGACGTCTCAAGTTCATCAATAACAGCAAGCTTTCGCTAATGCGGGTAAGTATTTATATCTTTTATCACTTTTTACTTTGAAACAATTATTTGGAATCTAAGATTTCCTAGTATTTTTAAAGTCATTCAGACCAATTTTCAGTCTCAATACAAGTCGCAGAACAGGATTAAAGTGCACTTGTATAGACTGATGTGACCGCAATGGAACATGTCGACCGGAGAGTGATCTGGCGCAAGACCAACGGCTTTATGAGCTTTCTGAGGCACGGAGTTAAAGTACCACCAACTTTCTGACTACAGGCTACCACAAAAAATTTCTTAACAGGACAACCCAGTACTTAACTAATTTAGACCGACCCGGGACTTGAACCCGAGACCAAATGATCAACAGTCGAGCATACAAATACCTACTACACCAACAAGGTTAGTAACATAAAAGGTAAAATAAGATACAATGTAAGTTAAGGCACATAACATTTGACCTATTTACCGAAATTAGTTGTGACAAACAGAAAATTATGGTCGTTATCCGTTAATTTTCTAGTTAACAATTTAAATTAACTTAAAAGAGTTTTTAAATTAACGTATCATCCATAAGTTTTGCGGCGAAAGGCGATTTTGCAAAGCTGTTCGGATAAGACTTACGATAGAAAATATTCTCACGATTGCGACAGAATTAAATTTGAAAATTTAACAAAATGGTACGACCGCTCGTTTACAATAATTCTTTGAAACGCGAAATTTAAAACGTACAAGTATATCGGCAAAATAATATAACCAGTAAGGGACTGCGCTCACAGACGGCACGCCACGACATGGCACGGCGTGTCAAAGAATTTTTTTCTGGGGGGAAAAAGACTTTCGACGTTATTTTAATGATCTTAGTTCTTAGCACAGACTCCTTTATTTCAACACGAATCGACCGAAAGTTCTCGCGTGACAGCGCGGCATGCTGCTGCACGTCATGACTTTCCAAGGGACGCTGCGGCACATCACAGCACCCCATTGGATGCCACGGAACGCTGGTGTTACTTTATGCTGTTAAAGGAATGTG